AGCCTGTCTAGAACATGAATGCTGTTTTCCTTGAGAAGTTCCTTCTTGTTTCCCTTTTTTTTTTCTCTTTTCCACTTGAAAATGTGTTCTCACTGTCTCCTTGTGTTTATCTCCAGGTTTTGTAACTGTAAGGAAGAGGATTCTGTCGTAACATTTTTAATGGTTGCAAGGGGTTGTTATTTTACAATCTTAGGTTGCTATGCTGAAGTAAAAATCTTTATAAGATTGGGAAATTGTGTGGTCAGTAAACTGTATGGTATTTTAAGTACTAGGCTTTTTCCCAGAAATTATTTTCAGATTTGAATCTGAGTGAATTTCTACAGTATTTGTAGTTCTGTCAGAATTGGAAGGCTGAGGACTAAATTTTCACTTATTAAATAGCTAGCTTAACCAATTGCAAGTGAATAGACTGAAAGGTTAAAAGCAGTGGTTCATTGAACTCCATAGGAGACTGTGAGGCAAGTTTCCAGTGTTACTGAGCTGTCTAGCTGACCTTTTGGTCTTTTCTTTCCCCTCCTCTTTTAGCAGTGGAGGCTGTTTTCCACTCGTGCGCAGTCACTGGCTGAAGAAGCCCTGCATTCTTTGTTCATCAGAAAGTAGAAACAGAAGGCAATTGCACAACCTCCCTACCTGTTGCACATGTCAGGACATAGCTGTGTGTGGAGAGACGTAAAGCTTTCGTGAGTTTTAGTGCCTTGGCAATAATGAAAGTACCTCTGGCAATGAAAATATTTTGTTCTCTTAGTTTGTGTTGGAAATGAAAGTTCCTCTTAAAATACTGGGTATTTTATAAAATACAGTGTACTTAAAATACTATGTATTTCAATATGATAACATTAAAATATCACTTAGCAATATTCTCACTGTTGAGTGTTCTGCTGGAAGGTAATAAATTCATGACTGGTATTGAATCTCTTAAGCGGAAACTATGCTTGTCTGGTAATGATGTCCAGTATCTGTTAGAAGGAATCACAACAGAGGCAACTTTTCCTTACCTACTTAGACTGAGGACTTGGCAGGTCTCCTGTACTAAACAGGGTAAATCTGATCTGCATGTTAATGGCAGTTCTCCAATGAAAAGTTGAGGAAGTGCTATTGCTAATTGAGTGCAAGGCACTCTTTCTAGCAAGCCTGCTTGGACTTGTGACCCCAGCCTGTTCCCAGGCACTGTTTAGTGGTGATAGGTGGTTTCTTTCAACTGTGGCACCAACAGACAAAGCGAGGTTTTCAAACCTTCTTGTTAGTGATCTGTAAGATATGGAATCATTAAAATCAGAACTGGCATTATATTCTGTGCACACACATATGAAGCAATGTGTGAGACTCAGCTGATTCTGCCCATCCACAAATGTGATTACTCATCAGAAAGTCACGCAGCTGTTTTACTGCAGATCTCCTTTGTCTGCCTGTATATTCTCTCCATATCCCACTCAGGCTTAACTGTTCCCTCAGAACACCTATTTTCAGCTCTCTGAATATGTTGAGCCATTTCAAAGGGTAGCAGAATGGAGTGTAAACATGTCTTTCAGGGGAAATGTTACTACATTCTTTAGATGTGACACTGGAATCATGTGGTATCAACATTCAGGGCTTCAAGTTGAATGTCGGTAGGATTGGAGACTCCTGAAAACTTAGGGCCTTGTTTGAAAGGCACCATTCACTGCCAAAGTATTCATGACCAAAGTTTTACTCTGGGAAAAATAAATGAAAACTTAGCACTTCCTAGTAAGGGCATGTCATTGAATTTTTGAAGATAGATGTATGTATTCAGATGACTTCCCTAAATTCAAGTGCCTTAATATTTTTCTTTGTAAGTGGATCTGGGTAAGGGCCAGCTTTTTTCCTCTTGTTAGTGACCTGTAACTTCTTTGAGCCAGTGAGAGCTGAAGTACTCTGCACACCTGCAGAGTGAAGTTTGAACTGTGTTAGGGTAGTTGCACAAAGATGGATATTGGTTTTTGATAATGGTACCTATACTCGATGGAAGAATTCTGCAGTAAGCGAGCCTGCAGAAGTGTGACAGGAATTTTGAAGCCAAATTTAGCGCTTAGCTAATAGCCTCTTGGCTTATACTTATGGGAGAACTGAATCTCTGTGTTGGCTTTGCAGGCTTGCAGCAGTGAAGAATAATTTTCAGTTAATTCCAAAGTAAGCATTCTGTACATGCATATGGCTTCATCTCAGAGGAAGTGTGCTTCAGAAAGATAGTATTTAAACATTTATTTAAGCAAACGTTTAACTATCAGTGAAGTCATGGAATAAGAATACACTCAATTCCCATCTTCAGAGCAAGCCAGAGAGTAAGACTATATTTTTAAACAGTGTAACAGGGTGCCAAGGGTATTGTCAGTGTTGAATAGTAATTGAAGGACACATCAGAAATTGAAATCTAAGTTCTGAGGTGTAGCTTGAGTTAAACATAAATGGTGAAGACTTTCAGTCCTACAGCTAACAGTGCTGTGGCGTTCCTGACTGCAAAGGGAGCCAAAAAATCTGACAGATTTTTTTTAAAAGGCACTTGCATTATTCTTGGTTGGGTTTTTTTCTTTTGATTTTTGAAGGCTTTGAAGTTAGTTTCCTTTGAAAAGGAGAGCAATATGAAATGTGGTGTGATTAGGTCTCTTTTTTTCTTAAAAGAAAAAGATCCTTGAGCACAGTAGCTTTTCTTTAAAATGTGGTGGGTGCATAAATAATAAAATATGTGATGGCATGGTACAAAGATTATCTTGGCACAGGTCTGGGATGACTGAATTGCTTACACGGCTTTTGACATTTGTGAATAAGGTGATCATTGCAAAAGTGTGCCAATGAAAACTTCATATGTCGCTAGAACGTGTGTGTAAGTTTGTTAGCATTTTCTATTTCATCACATCTTCTAGTATCAGATTGAGGTAAATCTTCAGTGTTGTACCATATTGTTGGTGTATCTTAAGGCGGGTTGCCAGAGTAGCCTCTGTGGATAAGCAAGGCTGTGGGTTTTGTGACACAGTGAAAAAGAAGTGAAAATGGTGTTGAGAAGGAAAATTCTCATATCCCATTCCTTATCCCTCCTCACTGTTGGCTACCTACTCCTTTCATTTGCTTTGAACCAGTTGTGATGTTCATCCTATCACAAGGATGAACCCGCTCACTAAAATGGAAGATAAGTGCCTTGGCAAGAAGAAAGGAAAAAGTGACTTCTTTTTCCCCTTCTTTGTTAGTAAATTAAATCATTTTACCTTGTAATCTGATCAACAGGACAGCCATCAGTGCCTGCAAGGGGCTGTGTGTGCCGTGCCCTTTCCTGTCTACTTTTGGGTGCGTATAGATGCACGCAGCAGCTCTGGGGGAAACAGCAGAGTGTGTGATGTGTTTTGTGTGTGTTGTCAGTATCACAAGTTGTACTTTAAGAGTCTTAGCCTAGGTGTAAGACCAAACATGGCTGTTACCTACCATGTTATCTACCACGTCTGTATTCACTACAGTGGTCATAAATGCCTGGTCCCAAAAGATACACCCTGTGGTTAAGCTGCGCAGGGTGGTGATAGCGGAAGGTTGTCCAGAGCTTGCAGTCATTAATGGAAGAGCACGAGGGACATTGCTATGGAGCTGTGAAGGTCTCAAACTCTTGTTGAATAGATGAAGATTTGGCTTACAGACTTTTCAGTTCAGTCCTGTTGAGACTGTAAAACTCTCGGGCACCACTGTGCCTGTTTACAAGCGCAGAGTTGGGTGGGATGATATGAGCAGGGGGGGGAAATTGTGGTCTTACTAAAGGTTGCAGACTCCACCACATTGTCGGTAGCTCACATCACGTTGCCTGAAGATGCAATGCTCCACAGCACTGCCACTGTGGTTACAGCTCTGATCTGATACAGCTTATGTGGGATCTTGAAAAACAAAATGGAGAGTATGTCATACTGTACTACTGAAACTGTTAGAAAGCAGGAGGAATTCATGATCAGAGGGAGGGAGGAGCGGTGGAGTAAAGAGCAGAGAAATTCCTCTTCATGTTAGCAATGGCAAACTGTTCATTTATTCCAGTAGCATCATGAATCCGCATCCACGGAGTACTGTGTAGGATTCCTTTCTTCCTGCCTCCCGTGTCAAATAGAGCTGAAGACAGGCCATTAATTTCAAAGAGAGTTTGTTTGGAGTGGAGTCTGTTCTTAGTATGAGCAGAAGGATAATTTTGGTTCTTCTAAGGAAAAAAAAAAAACAACCAACACTACAATATTTTTGTCAGTCTGCAAAATGGTGACCAACTGTAATTGCAGCTGCTTAGAGAGCCAAAACATTAGGAGATAACTGTGTTTATACCTGTGCTGTTCTTTCTGTGGTGTTCACTGTGTTTACCTTAGTGCCTTCTGTTACTAGAAATAAGTACATGTTCAAAGGTGTAATAAACTGTTCATCTCTTGCAAGTAAAACCACTGCTTATGCTATCAGAGTGGGTGCCACAGTCTGTCGTTCATCAGAATATTGAGATCCTGAAAAACACTGTAAAATCTTGTGTGGAGATAGCCCTGTGAAGTTTAGAACTCTTGTGCTTCAGCTCAGTGGGGATGTATCCCTGCAGCACTTTTATCCATGGCACTGTGTTTCAGCCAAAGGAAGGAAGTGGATAAGAAATTACTTTTTTACTACCAAGTGTAGAAATTACTAGGAAAGTAGATTTCCTATTTGCCTATGAAGAAAATTATGCTTTTTGTAAGGGAGTGTCAAATTGCTCATTGAAGAATGAAGCTCTTCCAAACAGTAGTTTCATTTTAGGCAACTGTGTGTAACAACCTACTGTCGTTTAGTATTTTGTTTTTATATCCCTTTTCCTGCACTCCTTGCAATTATCTCTTTCAGTTTCTGCACATAGTTAAGGGCTTTCTGAGTGCTGAAGTTGCTGAAGGTCAGAGTACATAGTTGCCTGGATGCTGTGACTGGAGGATCCTAGTTCTCTCCTGGGCTGCTCTCTACCCTCCGCTAGCTATAAAACTCATTTCCCTTCCCCCTCTCCCTGTCTGCAGGTTATCTTGACGAATCAGATTACCACATCGTTGAGCAATGGCCTTGGGATCCAGGCAGACCTGGTGTCTCCAGCTGATGATTTGTCCCTGTCTGAAGGTAAGAGATCCTTTCAATCAGAACTGAAACTCTGCACTGACACAAATCCACATTGTTACTTGCAGTGTTCTGGTGATGTCTGGGAGCAAAATTATTTTTCAGTTTGTCTGAAAATCCATTTATAAATAAAAAGAAAGTAAGTGTATTAACTAAAAGAGCTTACATTTTCTAAGGGCTGGGAATGAATTTTCCAGCCATGTCAGTTTTATAATGTTTCTCAGCGTTGTACTTCAAGTTACATGCACTTAGAGCATTATTTTCTGTCTTCTGAAGCTGCTGCTAGAGTTATAACACAGGCTAGGCTACACATTTGATGTTATCTAATGATTATGAGTGTTTCCAGGGAGAAACAGGAGGTTGCAAATGAAGGACAGCAAATAGTTCTGTCCCTTGCATTATGCTTGTCTGGTTTTAAATACAGTGCCTCAAACTGCAGTTCTCAGTGTTGTGTGAATGTAACATGAGGGTTTGTGTGATGCCATATAGTACTTTACATCTTCATGTTTCCTTTTCCTGCACAGAATTAGAGGGAAGCACACATTTTGGGGTTATAGAAAGGAGTTAAATGTGCTAAGAAACAATGGCAATTCTGAATGAAGGTTTGCAAAGTAATATAATAATCTGAGCTTTCCCAACTTGAAAAGACTGAGAGTATCCTCAGCCAGGGACAGATGCAGAGAAATTTGCTATTTAGAGTTTAGTCCATGTGTAGACCCAAATGTCTGATGTAAAGCAATGCTCATCTTTCCTACAAAGGCATGGTAATAGCATGAAGACTTCCTACTTCCTATAATATGAGTATTTCCTCTCTTTCTTGTTGCACTTTCACATGCTTCTGGTCAGCTGATTTTTGCTCTGGCTGATCACAGCCAGCCTTCTCAATCTTGTCTGACTTAACACAGGAAGAGCTTGGTGGCAAAATCATCAACTAAGCAGTGGTTAAAAAACTTGACATTATTTCTGCAATTCGTTTCAATGAACGTAAGAAAGGGGTTGATGGCAGATTAAACAGAATGTTGAAGAGCAGCACGTAACTTCAGTGTAATGCCTGAACACTGATTGATGTGTTTACTTCATAATTTTGTCAAGAGGAGCTTGAGCAAAGCAGGCCCATTAAATCATTTTGGAATTGTGCTTGTGGCTTTTTTTGGCTCCATCCCTTGCCAAAGTATCTCAGAACTTTATTGCTTGAAAATCACTCCCTACCTCTGTCAGAAAGAATTGAAATTTGGTAACTAGATTTGGAAGAGGACGGCATAATTTTTCATCTTTATTATTTCCTTCTTGGCATGAAGATACGGCACATTGTCTCATTAAATGCTCTTGATCACAGTACTTGTGCTTTTCTTTGGTCTTTAAAATTGCTCTGTATGAGCCACCTCTGAAAAGAAAGGCATAGCTGACTCTGAGGTGGAAGTAATAACAAATTATGCTCTCGGTAATACTTTATTTTTTCCCTTGTGGTTAAAATACTTGAAAAGTGGAAAAAGTACGGAATAGTTCTAATCTTTCTGAATTTTCCTGCAAGTAAGAAAGATTCTCAGTGCTGTGTATGAGCCATAGTTCTATGAAAGAAATAGCATTACGATTTTTGTAGAAGTTACTGCTTATTAGTGCAGCAATCGTGTTTTGTCTAAACTCTCTACTACCATTAGTTATCACCTTTTAACCCAAGAATGAGTTAAAATGTGTTGGTGCTTTTTGTGTGTGTTTGGGTTTTTTGTTTCTCTCTTTACTTGTTTTTAATTAAGGGTCTGAAGTGGTAAAATGTGCCAGCATGACACTTGTTGAAATTGGAAACCTTTGTGTAGCCTCAGAACAAGGACAGTACAGACAGCAGCAGTGAAGGCTCCTTCGGTAATTCAAGTTTTATCAAGGGATGCAGGGGTGAGAAATTTCTTTCCTTCTCTCCCTTTCCTCTTCTGTCAACTAACATTGGCACAGTATTTACATGCGGTGTTGTGTAACGGGAGAGGACAGTTCATCTCCCTGCTGTATTGTTTTCTTCTGTCTTTCTTATCCATAATATGGCTGCTTTGGATCGCCAGTTTGCTTCAATTTTAACCCATGCTGTTTACCTGTGGGGAAAAGTGGAATTTCAGGCCCATTCAATATTTGATTTCCATGTTTATTTTGCTGTCACAAGATACAGATGTGGCCAGGGCTTTTCTTTTCAAATATTGAGGTGTTGACCAGGCCTGAGAAAGTTCCCCCCTAATTTATTTCATTTTGGCTATTAAAAAGCCTGAAAGCAGCAATACTTCAATCTTCTGACCCTCTTGGGTACTTTAAGAATACTAAATGAGTTCATTTTCTAGGATTAGTGTGATATTCATAATACTGCTACTTTACAACCATTGAATTTGCAGGAAAGAGTAGTTATGTGGGTAGCCCTAGTGCACAAAGTTGCAGAGGCAGGAATAGAGGCCAGATTCATGACTGGGTGGTTCTTACCTCATTCTTCCTTTTCACTCATCACCAGCTAAAGCTGAATTTGAACCAATGACCTAGATGTGAAAGGACCCATAACACATTATTAGTCCTGTAAGCAACTCAGACCCTTGGTTTGTGTATGTCTAGTATGTTGTTTTAATCCTATCTGAAATCAGAGTCCCATCACTGTAAATGGTTTGCTAAAAGGGTAATCTTTCTTAGACAGAGGCAGAAATGAAAATTTCAAACTGAATGTGCTATTAGAAAGAAGTGGAATATTACAGTTGTTTTTGATTTTGCTTCTGATTGTGCTTTAGAAGGGAATTGCTTGGGTTATGTGTTAGATTAGGCAAGAAACCAAGGAAGCTGTTCGTCTGATGTGTGACAGAAAGTTAATTTGATGAACAAGCTGAAAGGACACTGTCAAGCTGTTTCAGGCTCAAAGCTTGTCTTCTGTAGAATTTTAATCTAGTGCATGAAAAGTTCTGTCCTAAAATTATGTTAGATTTTTATGAGAACATTAAAAACTGTATAAAAGCAGTTCTGGCTGTAAAATCCAACCACTTATGTAGCAGTGTAAGAATTCTTGAATTGTTTGTTGGTATTCATTGTAGGAAATGTGTGTGTCCAGCTGAACTCCCAGATCTGTGTGTGCACACTTCTGCTTCAAGGCGGGAGGGTGGGGAGAAGAGAGAAAAAACATTAGTTTGCTACAAATTAAAGTGATACATACAATACAGAAGTTTCTGTACCTGTGGGCAGAGTCCTTGCATTTATTTGGCCTTTAAATACTTGCCAGATTATCATCTGAAGGAGTATGCTAGACTAATAATGTTTTTCTGCAGCTCTAAAATTCTCGAGCACATTAGGCTGTCAGTTCTTCCCTAGGAACCAAACTGAGTTTTTACTTGTATCTACACTTTGTATATAACCATCTCACAGATCCTGTCATCGGAGGGGGTAGACTGGAAGATATGTGAACACTGCTGTTTAACTTTATTCTTGCTTTGTGGAATAGCCTCTGTTGAGCTCTTCCAGTCAAAGACAAATTCGAGATGCCTTAAAGTTACTTTAGATTGTAGAAGTGGTCAGATAAGCCCAGGACTATCACTAAGCTTGAAAATGTGGCCTGAAGAGTTAGTGCTTTATTATCTAAATATGCAAAAAGTAGCCATTACCCCAATTAATTCAGCGTAAATCTATTTTTTATTTATTTAAAAAAATTAATTTAATAAAGTGAACAGTAGAAATGGAGTGCAAATGGAGTAGAAATGGCCACAGCAAAATATTTTGTATGAATGGCAATGGGTGTTTTTAAACATGTTGTCTGTGGCTGTGACTGTACTATTTCTGTTATTTTTGCGAAGGTCACATGACTGGATTTTACCTGGTATGAAGAGTTGTTAGAAATTAATTCTAAGCCTGTGTGTTTGAATGCTGCTGGACAGTGAAATTTGTGTATTTATTTCAATTGTGTGCTGTGAAAAGCTGGAACAGTGTGACCTACTTGCGGTCCCTTCTAGCCCACCAGTGCTCGTCCTTTTCATAGATGTGCCATCTGCAAGCTCTCACTTCCCGTCTCAAGCATCAAAGCCAGATTCCATCTTTTCTTGGAAGAAACTCAGGGGCATGTTGGTATGAACAAGAAGAGCATCTCCCTCCCAGCATGCGCAGTGTGACCAGCAGAAAAAAAGACTTCTGTCTCAGACTTCTTCAGTCTTAGCTGATGCTTTCAGTTATTTCTTTGGAAAAGTCAGAGTTATTTAGTGATTAAAATTGTCTGTAAACTTGCACTGGCTGTGGGGAGGGCAGCATTCAATCTTCTTCATTTGCGTTCATCAAGCTGTTTGTCAGAGCCTTGTATACTTCTAGTGCATACTGTGAGCAATGGGTTTAGTCTGACCTTTTCATCTTTGTTGCTGTGATCTTGAATTCTTTTAAGCTGTTGAGCAGAAGCAGAGACTGGAAAAACTAAGCTACTATAATATCTCCCACCCACAGGATTTTCCTACTCTAGTTTAGGAGCAGAAGATTTGAAGCTGGAATCTTTGGCTTCTCTGCTTTGCTCTTATCTCCTGTCAGATTGTGGTTAAATAATTTTATTCCTCAAGCCTCAGTTTAACGGGTTTTTTAACATGGGAATATATATTTATTTTAATATCCTCATGTTAAATTTTTTTCTTTCTTAATATTTCAAGATATTCCTATGGGGAAAATAATGAATTGACCTGCTGTTCACTCCAGAGTAAGACCAGTTCTGTAGTTCATTACTTCTCTCCCTTTAAATTCCTTTTTCCAGTCCTGGTGCTGAATGGAGAGAAAACACTAAAGGAATTACCAAGAGAACTGAGGGGCCCCCAGAGATCAGAGGCTGTTGGTTGGTTTTGGTTTGTTTATTTATTGACTTCTGTATATACTTATGCTTAAGGTTGTGCCTGCAGGTAACTTAAAAATAGAATATTCTGTGAGAACTCACACATACCTGTTTTGCAGGAACTGTGAACTTATGAATGAAGCAAGTTTCTGAAACACTTCCTCCTTGTAGTTTTAAAGCTAATGCAGAATAA